CACTAAACTTCAAAGTTTTCTGTTTTGGCATGAGGAAGGAATTCTTGACTCTTGAGGAGCATTCGGCCGTGTGTGAAGATCTCTGACAGGATAAAATGCTTGGCATCGTGAGAGATTAAAGTTAGTGATGTATTTTAATAACAATCAACTGACTTTCCGCATTGGAAGACTCCTAAGTAGTATTTTAAGTTCAAGTTCTAAATATAGATACTATTTTAGAAGCTTAATTCGGTTGATCTCAATCTCATTTGTTCAAGTTAATTCTTTTAGATTACGGCTTTCGATCATGATTAAAATTACCACATATTTTCTTCATCCCTATTTTAGTTGTTTTCAATTTTTCAGAAGAGAGAGCACACAGAGACTAAGGAAACAACATTCATTTGTTATGGCAAATTAATATATTTTGTGAGTAAAAATATTTTTTTATTCCTATAATTTTATAGGATGTCTTATTTTTGTTCTTTGATCTTATAGAATATCTTCTAATTCTCTAACTTCTTAACACACCATTAGTGTCAAATAATAATTTTTTGTGTCAATTATTGTTATTATTTTTTTAAAAAACTTTATATATTAAATCATGTTTTGTCAGCGTTTAACAATTTTAATAATAAGATTATTATTTTTAATGAAACTAACAGTGTTAGGACTAGCAAAATGAAATTTTAATTGAATTTAGGAGCGCGTTTAGAATAACTTATAAATAATTTTTTTAATATAATTTATAAAATACAAAATAACTATGTGAGAAGAGTTTTATTTTGAGTTATGTTATAAGTGATTGTATACATGATTCTAGATAGGGTCCGAATTTGAAACTAAAAGATTAAAGTGTATTTAATAATATTATTATTATTAATTATTAATAGCATAACTATAAATAAGTCTGCGACCCTGCGTCAGAGATTCTCTTCAGCTTTCTACCACATGGCGTTTCAGGATCATGTAGGTCCCTCTTTTCTTTTCGAAATGACGAAAACACCCTCAAATGACCCAAACCAGCCCTAGCCTTTCCCAGGAATACCCAGGATGTTCATCTCTCTGTCTCTTCCTCTCTCTGTCTTTCTCTCTCTGTCTCTATCTCCCTATCCGCTGATATGGCATCGCATTCAGTGTTCGGATCGGCCTCTTTCGGTCTCTGAGAAGCCTCCTCTGCTCATGCTCAGGTCATTATAATATTTGTTTATGCGACGAAGTCTTTTGCGATTTGGGGGTTTTCTCGACAAACCAGCTCCGGATTTTGGATGCTTTCACCCAAGTCAGATGTTTGTTGTTTGAATTTATTCTGTGTAATACGAAGTCGTGTTGAACGATTTTCCTATGATTCTGTTGCTTTTTTTTTTTTTTGGCCTGATGAGATTCTGTTGAAATTTAAGTTGAATTGAATTTCCCCCTTTGTTTGGGCCTTTGTTCTTTGTCATTTTACCGTCTACATGTTTGCAAATGTTTTAGAATATATATCTTTCCTTTAGTAATATTCTACTGCATATGTTTCCATGAATTCATGCCTTTCTAGTTTCAACAAAATTTGTTTCCCCACCTGTTTTCCAGCTGTCTTCTTCGGCTCTCTAAATCTTGTAATAAGACAGTAATTAGAAGTTGAGGTAATCGTGTGATTCAGCTATACAAGTTTAATCTCCTTTGGCATCATTTTGGCTATGGGAACTGACAAGCTAACAAGTTTACTTCAAAAATGACGATTGTTCTTGTCATCTGATAGACCAATCAGCATTGCTCTTATTGCCTCTTTTTATTACGAGTAGCATGTGGCTGTGGGATGCGCTCATTGCACTAATGCTGCAAATTAATCTCATATGCTACTTTGTATTCACTCTACTCTTTTTGTAACTAATTTACAGAGATTAAGAATGTTAGATAAATTAGTTATTTGCGAAAAATTATACTGGTTTGTCTAAAATATCCTTTTTAATCATTTGCATTGGAAATTATCTTATTGATAGAAATTCCCTTTAACGTGTGAAATCAGTAGGGATAGTTTGTGAAAAAAATTATAAATTTGAGAGACATGTGAATTGAGGCCATACATTTAGAAGCAAAATAAATTCTTAATTAACTTTTTCATTTAAGACTGGAAGGAGTATTTTTTTTAATGATGTGTTAGAGATTCATGATATCTTTGACATTTATGTGCTAATAAAATAAGTTTCGGTCAACATATTACCCGCATTATTGAAGTAGACTGTTAAACTGTCGATGAAATCAGTGTTGTTGAGTTTCAAACCTTGTTATCTGCTGTACCCCGTTTGTGTTATATGAATTTATCAGATTATACTCAATGGGTTAGGGGCAAAGTGCTACCTAAGCTCTCGATTTTTTATTTTAAGTTTTTATTCTGTGCTTTGAGTTTGCACTTTTCACTCTCCTTTGTTATCTTTTCTGGCTCACAACCCAGCACCAGCAGCAAGCCTACGTCAGACACTAAAAGCAAATAGCATGCCCACTTTTTTTTCTGGTTCTGCTGGTTGTCATTTGGTGATCAAATGTTAATATGAAAGGTTTCTTCCCGTTTTACGTGTGTATGGATCCCTGACAGCTCCCTATGAATTTCTTTAGGATGTGCATCGGCTGAGAACCATTTATGGGGCTGTCAAATTATGAATTGCTAACCTATGCACGTAGACTGCTGATCCCACTGTAGCCTGTCATTTAAGCTTAAATCTTTGCTTCTCTTTGGTTTTATTTTCAGAAATGCTCCTGTGGTGGTGCTGGTGTCTGAAATTGTTTGTGCTTTCATGTTTATGATGTTATAATTTGCTTAAGAAATTAGTTATTACCTTTTTCTGTGTAATCCTGTTCATTCAATGAACTCTTATATCTTTTTTTTCCTCGGAATTAGTTCTGATGTATTTTGATTATGTTATTCGGTAAATTGCTGCAGGTTGTTTAGATGGGAAAGCTTATTTTAACCTGGCTGGTCACATTCGCCAATATAGTAGAGAAAATGGCCTTGTTATTTTTTCCTCCCATGTGATGGAAATGGTTTGAGTGGTTGATGAATATGTCATAGGAGTTTACACCCAAAACTTCACTGCATGGAAGATCACACATTTGTTGTTGGTCAAAAATTCCCTGATGTAAAAGCATTCCGCAATGCAATTAAAGAAGCAGCTATTGCGCAGCATTTTGAGCTTCATATCATTAAAAGTGACTTGATACGTTATTTTGCCAAGTGTGCATCAGATGGCTGTCCATGGCGCATTCGTGCTGTCAAACTCCCTGATGCTCCTACCTTTACAATTAGAAGTCTTGAGGGGACACATACTTGTGGGAGAAATGCACATAATGGGCACCACCAGGCTTCTGTTGATTGGATTGTGAGTTTTATTGAGGAAAGACTGCGAGATAATATCAATTACAAACCAAAAGATATTTTACATGACATCCATAAGCAATATGGGATAACAATACCATATAAGCAAGCTTGGCGTGCAAAGGAACGTGGCCTTGCTGCAATATATGGCTCCTCTGAAGAAGGATATTGCCTACTTCCTGCATTTTGCGAGCAGATAAAGAAAACCAATCCTGGAAGTTTTGCAGAGGTGTTTACCGCAGGTGCAGATAACCGTTTTCAGAGGCTTTTTGTTTCTTTTTATGCATCGATACATGGCTTCCTTAATGGTTGTTTGCCCATTGTTGGACTTGGGGCAATCCAACTGCAAAGCAAATACCTTAGCACATTCCTTTCAGCAACGTCATTTGATGCTGATGGTGGGTTGTTCCCACTTGCATTTGGTGTTGTTGATGTTGAAAATGATGAAAGCTGGACTTGGTTTTTGTCCCAGTTGCACAAGACACTTGAGGTAAATAGTGAAACCGTCCCGCCAATGATATTCTTGTCAGAGGGACAAAAAGGTATTATGGATTCAGTAAGAAGGAAGTTCCCTAATTCTTTTCATGCATTCTGCATGCGTCACTTAAGTGAAAGTATTGGCAAAGAGTTCAAGAATTCTAGGCTTGTCCAACTTCTGTGGAAGGCAGCATATGCCACCACAACCTCTGCTTTTAGAGAAAAAATGGCCGAAATAGAAGAGGTTTCTTCTGAAGCTGCTAAATGGTTACAGCAGTTTCACCCATCTGAGTGGTCTCTAGTACATTTTGAAGGAACACGATATGGTCATTTGTCCTCTAATGTTGAGGAGTTCAATAGATGGATTTTCGAAGCCCGGGAGCTGCCAATTATTCAGGTGATTGAGCGGATTCATAACAAGCTCAAGACTGAGTTTGATGACAGGCGTTTGAAGAGCAATTCATGGTTCTCTGTACTCACTCCATATGCCGAGAGGCGAATGATGGAGGCTATTACCTGTGCATCCACATATCAAGTCCTTAGATCAGATGAAGTGGAATTTGAGGTTCTCTCAGGTGATCGCTCAGATATTGTGAATATTGGTAGCCATAGCTGTTCTTGCCGTGATTGGCAGCTATATGGAATACCATGTTCTCATGCTGTTGCAGCTCTGATGTCATGTAGAAAGGATGTCTATGCTTTTACCGAGAAGTGTTTTACTGCTGGTAGTTACAGAGAGACCTATGCAGAGGAAATACATGCCATCCCTGAGAAACTTGAATGGAGAAAAACAGATGAGACTTCCACCGATGACAAAGCTGTACTTGTACGGCCGCCCAAATTCCGGAGACCACCAGGACGCCCTGAGAAGAAAAGAATTTGTGTTGAGGACCTTAATCGAGAGAAGCATACAGTGCATTGTAGTCGGTGTAATCAAACTGGACATTACAAGACAACGTGCAAAGCAGAGATTAGTCATAGTATAGAACAGTTTTAGGTGTCTAATTTTGTACTCTTAGGTCACATGAACTAGCATGGTTAGCATCTAGGGACAAAATGTTAAGGATGTACCCATTATTTAGGCTATGTAAAAAATTTATTCAACTCAATCTGCATGTATAAACTGAAGTAACTTTGTAAGATTGTCAGGCTTGTAATCAAAAGCAAGTTCTAGCCGTCCCTTGGCTCATATGTTTTGAACTTTTCTTTTTCTTTTTTTCTTTTTTTGGCCACCAGGAGCTCAAACGCCTATTACCCATGAGAGGTTAAACTTGCAATTTTACATTTAAGATAGAATGGAGGTGATTAGTGTCATTTAATACACGCCCGTTTGCACAGATGTGCTTTCATACACGCACATGCACAAACAAACAAAAATACACACACAACTTGTTCGTCATGGTAAAAGCATTGATTCAATTGAGATGTCTTCGGAAGATATGAGGAGCAATTTATGTCCAATGCAACCTTTTTAGTGTCCCTAAACAAGACCTACACATTAGTGTCAGACACTTGATCGTCTGCAACCTTCCCTCCGAGCCATGGGGGCCATTTCATGAATGAAAATAGAATAGAGCGATGGAAATGAACAGAATGAGGATCAACTTCTTTTATATATAACCATATATAGCACATCAGAATATATTATTTCAAGAGCTAAGTTGAGGCCAGTCTTCCTCAGTCCAAGAAGTTACAGCTTGAAACCAGTGAGATAATTTAAGTTCAACTGTATAGCTCCTTGAATCTTCTGCAGGCCTCCAAAATATTTTCCCGGTGACCAAATGCGCTTACACGAACAAAACCTTCGCCACCAGGTCCAAAACCGCTGCCAGGGGTTGTAACCACATGGGTCTTCTCAAGTATCTCGTTGAAAACATCCCATGAGCTTCGTCCAGGGAAATGGACCCAAACATATGGTGCATTTTTCCCTCCATATACTTTAAAACCAAGCGATTCAAATGTCTCCACTATTATCTTTGCGTTCTCTTTATAAAATGCGATGACTTCCTTCATAGCCTGCATTCAAATTGAGCGAGTCCATCATGTAGCTTGTCCAAGAAGTATTCTACCAAAGGCCAAACCAGCTTTCATAAAAGAGGCACCTCAGAACCCACAAAATTTTCAAGAAGTTTCTGTTTCTTTCTCGATAAAGAACTGTGACACAGAAAACCTGTCCTTTTATCTTTTTACTTTTTATTGGGTGAGAATGCTAATTTTTTTCCCCCAATAAGGTATGAAGAACTGTGAAGAAAATGTAATGTTTTCAGTAAAACTAGCATACTGGCTAAATCATGCAGCATTCTTTCTTCAGAAACTCGTACAAAAACAATAACTGACCTTGAGACCTTCTGGAGAAAGGCAAGCCAGACCCCCTGCCTGGGAAATATTGGATGCACCATTAAAGCAAGTACTCATAATTCGGCTGAAATCCTTGGCAACAGGAAAACCATCAGAAAACAGTAACTGCTTTGGAACCACACTCCACCCAAGTCTAACTCCAGTGAATCCAGCATATTTACTAAATGATGCAGTCTCGATCGCAACCTGCAATCTCAACAAGGTTTCATGCACAATATTACGATACAGAAACCTACCATGTATCCACGGTTAGAAACAGCTTCCTAACTGAACCCTCCTACTATGTGTTAGCCTACAGAAAAAGCCTAAGCCATCTCCCATAAACTTTTTGCCCAATAGTTTCCTAGATGGACATCTTGCCTGATGCCATCATGCCATTGTATTTGAAAATTTCCCTGATTAGTAACCAAGCTACCTCAGTAATATGGTGGACGCAACCATGAGACAAAAAACATAAAGCACGTATGCCTACACTTCTGGTAAGATACTTAAGGGAATGCAAATATTAGGTTGAAAAAGCTACCTAAGCTTGCAAGATGTTTGACCAGGCAAACCATTTGGTGAAATGAACATTCAGATAGGCTAATGTATGTGGGTGTAGAGACTTATCAGCTCAATCGATATATCGAAGTATCTAATAAAATCTCTTAAAAGACTGATTATTCACAAAGGTATGGACAGTGTGACTCAATTTTCATGCTCTGTCCAATCCATGGGAAACATGTCTAGTTGAGCACCAATAGCTCATGTCAGTTTGACAAAAGACCGTAGTGGTAAACGAAAATAAGCAAATTTTTTGTCAAAAAAACAAAGAACAAAAATGAGCAAATCTCACAATATCTCAATTCAGAAGGCTAGGCAATTGTTAAATAAAAAATTGAAAGAAAATGGCATTTGCACAAGTTAGAATTATAAGATCTAGATTGTGGCGGGAAAAAAATATTTTAGATAATGTAGCAACAAGTGCCACAACTCAATTGGAAAATGACAAGTAAGAGAAGGGTCCATCCAATGCATTCTATGATAAAAATTAGCATTGTATAATCAGAACTGTGTATCAATGTTAATAAATGACAATGCTCAAAATTATAATCAAGATGGTGTAAGACTGAACATAAAGCTCAGCAGTTTTTAAGCACTAGTTGCTAATTCTAGACTGACCTCTTTGGCTCCTGGGATTTCAAAGATGGAACGTGGGCTGTCATCTGATATATATAATGCGTATGCAGAATCAAATATTATTATTGACCCATTATTCTTAGCAAACTGAACTAGTCTGCTTAGTTGCTCCCTTGTGGCCACAGCACCAGTAGGATTGTTTGGTGAACAGAAAAATATTATATCTGTTCTTGAAACAGAGGATAAATCAGGGAAAAAACCATTTTCAGGACTACACCACATGTATTCAATTCTCCCGTACTTCTGAGGATCCTTCAGATATTGGCCAGTCTGACCCATAATAACACTTGAGTCTACATAGGCCTGCATCAAGAGGCTCAAACATAAGAAAAAATCAGCTAGAAATAATGTAAAAATGTAAAAAAATTCTTTCTTTCTTTTTTTTTCCTATTTCTGAATTCTTCAAGACGGTAATGAGGGCAGTGATCAGCACATTAATAAAGGTAACTGTAAAAGTTGTTTTATGGTCAATAATTTAAACAGCATATCAGGACCGAGAGGACTGATGAACAATACGAAAATGATTCCTACCCAAGTTTGCAAGTGAAAGGCACTAATAATTCCCACATGTTTACATCTGTTGCAATTTCAAATCAAGAGCAGTCTTCTTTATAAAAGGGCGTTTTCTCAAATGCGAAAATAAACTCACATTCTTAGGATTTGAAAGAACAGTAGAATCTCAAGCTCTCTTCCAGATTTATTTTTTTTTTAAATTAAAAAGTAGACACAAGCTAATCAGACCATTTTCCATTGCATCAAAGAGCATGACAGGCCAAATGAATGAACTAAAATAGTGGGCACAGCGGAGAGCAATAATGGGACAAAACCAAAAAAACTTCAAGCCGTATTAAAAGCAGAAATGGCTTGCGTAATCAACTGTTAATGAGACCATATTAATGCAAAGTGAAGCATAAATTACCGGGTATGATGGGTTTTGCACTGCCATCCTCACATTTGAGCCAAAGACAACCTGTAAAAACAATCATGAAAGGACAAGTTGGAATTTGAAATATCTTACTGCTGAAAGCTCCCCGTTAACAGCAACCATGTTGAGAAAGGAAATTATTGACATATAAAAATTAAATTTACGATCAAACCTGGAGACGAGATATGTCGCATTTTGATCCATCCGAGACAAATATATCATCTTCCTCTATGCCAAGATCACTGTAAAATGTTGAAGCGATTGCCCTTCTTAATGGCTGCGTAGATTAGAATCACCAGTCACTCTTCAAATATCATAAATTTCATTAATATAAATTTCGACTTAAATGAACAACTAAATAGGATAATTATATGATCCCAAGATCAAATTCCTTCCATCTTTATCCAATTAAGTTCCTGAAATAAACTATAAGACTTGTCCAAAGGATTGTTGAAGTGTTCAATCACGGTACAAAGATAATGTTCTCTAGCTACTTCAGTGCTTTTTTATGATAAGAGGAAAAAATATGATATTAAAAACTTAATAAAGAATTCCAGATGCTTTGCTTATTTTTCTTGGTTTAAGTAAGAATTTATGTTGGAACACAAAACTTCCAAGCACACATTATGACACAAGTTCAATAGCCATCAAAACTTGAATTTTTTTAAGGTAATCAAAATTCGAGTTTTATTTCACTTAGGGCTTATAAAATCTCCTTCCGAAAGTCGGTGTGATAAGAAGCATTCTTATAAAGCTCTCATTTTTCACTTGGCTCTTTGAAAAGCATGTTGCATTTAACACCAGGTGTTAATGCACCGGATGTGTCCTTTCCAAACTATCAGCATAAGTAGAAATCTTTGATATGCAAGAAAAAGTACTGATAGTGCCTTTTCTTCAAGTCAACACAACATACCTTTTCACCTTCATATTCTCCATAACCACGATAACCCTCAACCGTAGCTAATGAATTTGCTTTCTGAGGAAAATAGTTTGATGCTCAGTTAGCTACAGGCAAAGCACTGGTTTTATTTATGAGTAACGAAAGTGTTTTTCTTGAATCAAATAGGAACATTGTACAAAGCATACCAACATCCCATGTAATCTCTATACTTAATTACAATCTATAAAAAAGACTTGAACAGAATCAATAGAGAACGGAAGGGGGTTTATACTAGTCCTTGGTGCTGAGAAAGCAGAGTTCGCACAATGAGGAATAGCACTTAACAATTGCTTGACTTGATCTATTTCTATGATAAACACATAATTAATGAACAAGCCCCAACTTCAATTAAAAAAAACAGAGAGAGAGATGCTTGTAAAAAGAAAACATAGTCCAATGATGCATTAACTTCATTAAAGCAAAAGCTGTACCATTGCCATTGCAGAAGCTATGACTTCAGGAATAGGGTCAGTAGTATCGCCAATTCCCAAGCTTATCAATTTTGAGTCTGGGTGCTTTAGCAAGAGTGCAGATTTTCTTCTTGCAACCTATTGTCCACGATAAAATTGAGGATATAGATTAGAAGGTAGAAAGTACGATATCACATATCATATTAGAGTCAAATGAAAGAAATAAATAGGATTAATTCATAACAAAAGCAAAAAATATCCAGTGGCATAACAGACCTCTGGAAAAAGATAGCCAGCTTGAAGTTTAGCCATGTTTGCATTGCGAGAGACATTAGTCCTGTAGCCTTCAACGTGGAAAAGGGAAGAATCATCTTAAATTCTAGATGATAAAGATCATTTTTTCTACATAACGCTTTATATACAGTTCTCCAACGAGTTCTAGTAACTAAATAGTCAATCATTTCGATAGAGAAGGCTGAAAAAGGCAAAAAAATTGGGAACGATTATATAGAAGTATTGTGGATCAAGTATTCTAATGTATCATATCTGCATGCAATTATTTCATAATCACAAGGGTAAAGGAAAACAGAGAAAACTACAACATAGAGAAGATTTCTGGGTACCAGTCTGCAATTCTTGAGGTGTCTCAACGCATTTACAAACACCAAGGCTTTTCGCTGGCAAAGAGACGTTCTGATTCCTGAAATAGCCAAAGAAGGCCCAAAAAACAAAAAACTTTTGAGGTTAAAACAGAAGAAAGTTGCAGAAATATTGATCAATGTTCAAATTCAATGCAGGCCTTCCTGTGTAGTTGGAGATATGAAATGAGAATTAGAAGCAAAATACCGTGAATTGAAGTTAGAATGACTCAAGAAAGAAGAATAAGATGAAGAATAGAGTGGAGAAGTCGTGGGGTTATGGATCATAGCCATTCTCGAATGAGACAGAGACGCCACAGAATGGTGGTACCATGAGATCTCTATTTATACTATTGTGACTTCATAATTTTAGCAGTCGATGTCTCCATAGGCAATTTCAAAAAGTTTTATAATAACTCAAATTTAAAATTCCAAAACCGCCCACATCTGAGCTGTATGTGACTGGGTGTATATATCTTCAAGTCATTTCTCATTCCTCAAATTCTATTGGGACTTTTTTCTGTCTCTCTGTTATATTAAAAATATATTTTACTTCAAAATATATATATTTTAATATTAGATGTTGTTGCTTTCAAGAAATGAATTCATGGAGAACTCGCGCAAGCTTCTCCATCCCCTAATCCAAATCAGCACTTGGTTTGTTGTCGATCTATTTGAAAAATGGCATGGAGAATGAAATAAAATAATCAATTTTTTAAAAATGATTTTATGAATAAAATCTTTTATCTTTCATTATTATTATTAGTAGAATAATAATAATGAAGCCTTTTGACCAAAAAATAATAATGAAACCTAGTCCCAAAAAATGAAAAAAAATGTTATAAAGAAAGAATTGAAAAAAAAAAAAAAGAAACAGAACTAGCAGGCAGCTGCCCGTTTCCATGTGATAGTGATAGTCATAGTATTCTCGGGCTGTTTGGGATGTTTAAAAAACATTTTAAAAAAATATTTTAATATAAATAAAAATAATTTTTTTCCACATATTTATTTCAAATTTCATAAAATTATTTCTAAAACTGTGGCTTATTTCTTATCCAAATATTCTCTCAAACTGAAATTGATTGGTTCACATCCTTGCAAATCACCTTTTCTTTTCCCTTTCCAATTTCTCTGGCATTAACTATGGATACTGCTTCTAACAATTAATTTCAACTTTAATTTGTGACATTATGAGAAATTAGTTTCTTTTGCATGTTAATTTTAATTTAAAAAAAAATGTCTGTACACGCTTTGATGGCCTCAAAAAAAATTATAATAAATAAAGAAAAAAATTATCCATAAATATCCATTTGAAAATTTCATTGCCCATAAACACATAAGTTACTTATAAGCAATAAACAAATATATTATATTAGGCCAAGTAGTCAGTATGAGGTAGGAAGGCATGCATTTTGCTTATAGGTTAAAAGGAAAATACATTTTATGTATAGCTTAAATAAAAGAAAAAAATTACTTATAAATTTTAATTAAAAAACTAAATATGACTAAGTCTTACAAAGTTTATTTAATAGTAATATATCTTAAAAAAAACGTAATATTTACAAGCCTAGTTTGTATAGATTAAATTGTTTTGAGATCTATTATTATTTAATAAAATTTAAGGGAAAGTAGTTTTTCCTAAATTTTAAATATACGTGTTCCAAAACTCCTATAACTACATGAATGAAAGATTAAGGGTGTGTTTGGATAGAAACCAAACCATGGTTTCAGAAGTGCTTTTACGGATTACGAAGTAAATATGTGAAGGAGATTATCTCGTTTTGCGAAAAAGTGCTTCTGAAACCATAGTTTTGAGATATCCAAACAGGTCCTAAATCATCACCAGTGGCTCTGTGCCCAAATGCCCAATAAAACTTCAAAAAAGAAAAAAGAAATATTATCATAAACAATTTATACTCTATGTTTAAATATTTTGATAATTAATACAAAATCTGGTTAACTAATCTATATAGATTAAAAATATTAGTTCAATTAATTAATATGATATATTTTTTTAAAAATATTTTTAATATCTTTTTTAATTTTTTCCCTTCTTTTCTTACTTAATTATTATTTAAAAAAATAATATTAATTTTTAAAAAATTAATAAATATAAAAAAAAAAGTCTTACGTATACGAAAAATTTCCTAATTGGTTCCGTAATCTATGGAATCATACCTGCGTGAATTGTACTTGCGCCTCTTCCCGGGCTGGAAGCTTCGATCGGAAGAACCCTAACCCCTCTATTCGGCGACCATCCTCTTCCCCGCGACCTGAGCCGAAGCTTGAGCTCTGAACGCTAGAAGTCTCTGGGCGAGTTTGTGGCGGGTAAGTTGCGATTTTTGGTTTCCTCTTCTTCATTTGTTTCTGTTCGAATTAGAGGCTATTTATCCTCACGTTCTTCTCTCCCCGACGACTCTTCTATAGTCGGTGACATGAGAAAATCTTGATCTCTGACGGCTGAAGTTGTCTCGGATATCCTCTTATCGCGTTTTGCTTCGATTTCTGGCTTCCTATCAGTCTCTGTGTCCCCAAAAAACAGAACTTCGATTCGAGATATGACCTGAAGCAAGAATTTGTTCCATTGTCATCGTTTATCACTGAAATTTCCGCCTTTTAGGTCATTGAACCAATTACTAAGGTCGTTTATCTGGAAAGCTGGACGTTATTCGGAATTTTCAGATTCTCGAAAGCTTTACCATACCAAATTCCATAACTTTGATTGGGTTTATGTTTCCGGTAGTTTTAGAGTGTCTTTTATATATTAATACAAGGTAGTTTTAGAGTTCTTTCACGACTTTTTAAGGACGTTTCTGTTGGTTTATTTATCTCGATTAGAATGGGATGGCTTCTACTTTATGTTAGGTCTTTGGAAAGGAAGATTATCTAATTTAATGGTAATGTGTTGTCTGATTGGAGTTCTGCTATGTTGAAAAGTTCAAAATGTTAAAAAGTGATGTTGCAGTGGAGATGGTTTTAGGCCTTGGGTATGCAAATTGCTTTAGATTTTTGCTCCCTTTTCATCTTGAACTTATAATCTACCAATGAAGCGAACCATTATTTGTTGCTTTAAATGCTACTCATGTTGCCAAATGCCAATGGCCTCTGTGGGGCCAGCAATTTTGCATTCGCAGTTTGAACTGGAGAATTAGAGTTCTTGTTTCACACCCTTTAGAACTACTCCCCGGTAGTGGATTGTTTTAATTATTGGAATTTCTTTTCTATTCTTCATTTGATTGTTGTTCCCCTTCCTTTTTTCCCCCTCCTTGTTGATTTGTTCAGCTGCTTAATGGATCTGGAGACTGAAAACCGACTAGCTGCTCTTTTTATGAGAGAAGCAGCTGAATTGCGACAACAGGCTGAAAAGGAAGGTGTTCTTGCATATCTTCGACAGCCTAATAAACGGCATCGGCCAAATTCACGCTTCCTCACAGCAACTGTACTTGGGGTACAACAAGGTAGGTCCTATTTACTGTTTTAGAAATAGAACTTGCCCATTGTGTTTGATCACGGAAATTTTATCAAATGAATATGAAATTTGAAGGAAGACAGTAGTTATTCTAACAGCAAGCCATTGGTCCATCTTTTGATGGGCCTTTATATAATGTGATTCTTAGTGACTGTTTTCTTACTGAGGACCATTGCTCTTAATTTTTCCTTCTAATAGTTTGTAGAACTTCTGCATAACTGCCAATGACAAAATTATAAACTGCTTTCCTTTTATGAATTATTTTGACTTGAACCAATTTAACACCCCATTCAGTCCACAACAGTTTCTGATTCATGCAATCTCTGCTTAGCATTTGTGGTTCTATCTCTTCTGATTGTATTAAATACACCTACCTCTGGGTTGATAAATCTCAGCAATTGAGTTTGAAGTGGGTTTTCTTGTGTACTGTATATATGCAAATCATTATGTATTTCTTACTGATATGTTAACTGAGACCCTGTTGTTTTTGCAAAGTAGTACACACGTACAGTCTTTGATTATTTTCAGAATCATGAGAAAAATATTATAATATTTGCATCAAGATATTGTTATGATTTTTTTTCCATGCTGGAATGTGCCAATATTTGGTAAAAATCGTCATGGGAATCAACTCAATAATCATAATCTTTAATTATTCTTAACATTAGTAAAACCAAAATGTTTACAGTCTTTTGAGCTAGAGATGATAGATTTGTCAAACCTGTTGCAATTTAAATTTGTTTTTGTGATTAACTTGAAAATCCTCTTCTTCCTGTGTGTTTGGTAGTCATTTTGTTTAGCATTTTTCTCTTCAGCTACTATCTTATTGTCTTTTCTGTGTGTGCTTCATTCTTTTATTCATTTTTCAGCAAATCGAGCTGTAGATGTAAATGAAATGTGGCGAGTGCGGCAGAAAGAACTAGAGCTGGATAAAAGGCATGAAGGCAGATCTAAAGATCAAAACCCTGGCAACAGAAGCCATAGGGATGGTAACTCATTAAGAAGCGCCGGAAGGTTTGCCATGGATGATAATACTGCCTCTGCTTCATGCTCTAGTAAAGGAGAACCTGACCATTGCCCCGAAGGTTTAAGGGATGAAGAGCTTGAGATGTTTCTAAACTCTAGGTATTCTTGCTTTTCGACATTTTATGTGCATGGTACTTTGATGTAGACACACTGGTTAAGGTTATGACTGAAGAAACTGTCCTTTGCAGGACCAAGCGAGGCAGAGGAGCCATTGGTCCGAGGATGGACGAGACAGGTCCTTACCTTCCACGTCACTTTGATGAGGAGGAGCCTATTACAAGTTCTGATGTGAGCAACCGTCGTGTTTATGGTCCAGAAAGGCCTGCTTCACTGAAGTCTTGTGAATCTTCTGAAGAGGAGGAGATCCATGTTAAAAGAGCGAAAAAGGCTAAAAAATCTCACTCAGGGAGCTCAGACAAGGAGCATTCTAAGAAGCACAAATCCAAAGAGAAGTCTAGACATAAGAAAAGGAAGGAGAAAAGGAGCAAGCATCGCCACTGAGGTGTATTCTGCTATGTATTAATTTACAAGGGAATGTTGTTACTTGCCCGGTATGTGTGCCAAACTGTCCATTTTGATTGTACGCATGCTTAAGTTCTTGCGTAGATGTTACGTGCGTAGATATTTTATGTAACATCAAATGCAACATATTTACAACTAGAGACCGATCTTCCAATCTTGTGTGTAAATAGAGTTATCTTTGGAATGTCGAGATATTCAAATCTAGCTTGATATTCAGATGATGTTGGGAACTACTGTTGACCCCCTCCCCCCCCGGGGGGGAAGGGACCGAAAGCTGCAATCTTTGATCATGGCCAATTCTGTCTGAGTATTTTCTCTCAGTTGTGACATTTTAATGTTCACTTTAATTTGATTGCGACCACCCAAAACCCTTGAGCAAGTTACGGAATTGTATCCAAAAGTCCTTCCTGGGGACCATATCCGTAAGTTGACCAAGAAATCTATCATTTTGGTGCTCTTAGTTGGAAAGGAAGAAACCCATACTTGCATGATCATGAATTGAATCTCTTTTTTGAATTCCGTTTGTCAAAGATTAGATATTTATGGCTATCTGTTCACACTCTTCATTTTTGTCTAGAACAGTTCTTCATAGATGTTGACTCCTCGTTGTAATCTTGATTCTTCCAGTCCCCTAAAACGGAGTCATTTGGAGTTTACAGTTTAAAATTTCGCGTAGAAACAAAATTAAACATGACATGTAAACTTGTTTTGCATTTTTAGAGTACGCAGTACATATGTGACCGTCTTAAGGTACATCTTCAAAATTTTTTTTTTAAAAAAAAAATTCACAAATCAGACTAGGGCATTAACAACAATAATTAATCAACTAACTTGCCTTCCAAGTCTCATTTCTTTACCAAATACAAAAAGTTGGTGCGGACCCTGTTGTAGATATTGGCTGTCTCAATTTGTTTTTAACTAACCCCTCGTCTTTAGTTGTAGCGTAGTTATAATTGTGGTAGTTTGTGAATGCAACTTTTCTAAGTCACATCTTCCTGTGGCAGCGAAGAAATTAAAAGAGGCACCGGTTCAAAACTGCAATTGAAATACTATCTCCAATGTCAACTTATACGAAAGTGCCTTTAAAAAGCTATCCAAACACACTCGACTTTTATTTTATTTTTTTTATTTTCATATTGTATTCTGATCATTCTTTGAAAAAAGTAGCATAAGGTCTCAAATAATGAATATAATTATTGAAAAAAAATTTTAAAAATTTTAATAACAAGTAAGCAGTTTGAATATATTGTTATTTTTTATACTAAAATTTAGGGAGAATTAGAGAGAAGGACCAATAGGAAGTGATATTTATTAAAAAAGATCATAAAAATTAAAATTATTTAAAAGGACCAAATATTCAAATATAAATTTAAAAATACTATATTGTTTTTATTCAAACCTCTTACATTTTGTCTTATATTTTTTTCCTACATTTTATTTTTAAAACTAATGTGAATTAATAAATTTCACTAAATTAGACACAGTTTGTCTCAAAATTTACAACCTACATAAAAATTAATTAAAAAAATACGCAAACATTGTTCAGTCTTGTAAAATTTAAATCTTTATTTTCTTTATAAAAAATTTTTAAAAAATTTTAAGATCATCACAGACTTTAATTAAAGATGAAAATTATATAATTTTATTAAAATTTAGATTATTATTAATTCATTATATAAGAAATATTTAAAAATTCAAAGAAAATGATTTCTTTAAATTTCTTAACGTTACATGAATTTTTTTAATTGTATAATTAGGTGGCTTTTGTTAAACGATTTTGAGGAGGGGTCTTATAAAATTATAATAAATTAAATCAAATTAAATTTTAATACCATACTTCTCGTATCTGGCACCGAAGGAAAGATTTATAAAAAGGAAACCGTGAATATTTAAAACGAACAATTGTCAATATCTTTTTTTTTTGTACTGAAAAGAATAATTGTCAATATCCTGCCTATGTCTGTTAGTGGCCTTGGTCTCAGCATGACAGGGAATGCCAAGACAAGCTGACAGATTTTGCGTATATTTTAGATCAGATAGCCATCAGAATCAGAAATATATGCATCTTGGTCCAAAAAAACTGAGAAAATTATTGTGAGATTTGAAGGAGGAAAGTTAGTAATATCTAAGAAGTATCACAACAACTGCTGAGTAACTTAAATTCTAGAGAGAATTAGAGAGAAGAACCAATAGACAGTAATATTTATGAAAAAAGATCATAAAAATTAAAATTATTTAAAAGGACTAAATATTCAAATACAAATTTAAAAATACCATACTACTCCTATCCAAACCTCCTATATTTTCTCTTATATTCCTTCCTATATTTTATTTTTAAAACTAATGCAAATTGCCAAATTTCACTAAATTAAAAATCAACTCAATTCACAAAATATGAGTTTAAATCTGGCTACTGATATGATAACACCTTGTTGAGTATCAATTAATTAATTTATAAAACACTATATTTATTTATATACATTTACTAAAAAGATTCAGTAACAATGCCTACTCTCTCTTCTTTTTTTTCATCCATCCTAATGTATTTATCCCCATCTGAAAATATTTTCCAAAAATGGCAATACCCATCACAGGAGGACATTGAACTTCATTGATTCTTCAATATGAAACTTACAATTGAATTATAGCACTTTTTTTTTTTTTGGCTAACGCCGACAAAAGCGCATCTAATAAGAAGTCCAAAACATTAATTTTACACTTAATGACATAACTTGCCCCACCCTCAAAACATGAAAATGTGCAGCAAAGCACGTGATGATCCTGTGGGGTGGTGGATCCTCGGCAACAAAATGTATCGATGATGCAAAGTACAGAGTAGCTGTAGTTCCTCATACCTACCCTATTCCTGATCATGGCTTTGTCATCTTCTAATCTAAAATCACATTTCTGAATCCCGACCTATTCGAAGCTCTCACTCCTAAATTGCAATATCCATGTACATAAAACAAGAAAACGATGCGATTATTTGGTGGCTCTGTACATGAACACTGGATCATTTTTGGTCAGGAGTCCTCATAATGATGATCTGTCTCGTCATATATCTCCTCCTATAGCAAGAAATGGTAATGTCAATAACGGTTTTCTAGAGAATAGTTTTGAGTTTTGTGCTTTGTGCTTGCACTACATGTACGTGGGAGAGTGAATCCCATACTGACTGCCCTGTACTGCGAGCAAAAAATTTTCTAGGCGTGAAAGAAAGAAGAAAGCAAGTTTAGGACGACTCTTGATACCTGTAAAAGCTCTTCAATAACATCTTCCATTGTAATGATCCCAACAGCTTCTTCTTCTTCTGGAAGCCTTGGAAGTGAACTTCCATTAATCTCCAGAATGTCCGAGTACATATTCTTTGACCATTTTTTGGATCGAGAGCCAAGCTTGGGAGAATTATGTGAATTTGGAAAGCTTTTCCACTTATGAAGTGGCTTCTTTTTGAAGAGAACTTTCTCAGGAGAAGGTTTAACACCATCAATATCCACACTCCACTCTTTCGTTGAGCCTATGCCAGAGGAATGATAGGCAGTGAGAGGTTATTATTAACTGAAATTACCAGTTTGAATTCAAAGGAACCTATATTGTATGATGGTAAAGGATAAATATGTTAATCACAATATCAGCGCTTACCATGTTTACTGGCAGAATGTTGGGATGAATTTTCACACTGCTTTACAACAACAGCCATGTGGCTATGGCCCTTCTGAAACTCATTCAAGATGTCATACAGTGGCATACTGCCTTCAACTCTGTCAAAATAGGTGATTCAAATACATAAATTTATGGCGACATATCACACAACATGCATCAGATTCTATATAGGATCAACATGCCTTCTATCATGAAACTATTAAATATATACCTTGGAATCCTTCGAATGGTCACACTCTTCACTGGTGCCTCATCTTCTGGGTGAATTGTCAATAAGTTCTTGACCTAAAATTTAGCAGCGCGGATTTAGGAAATGCATTGCCAAGGAAAAATTGAGGCAAAAAATAACTAGATATTGAGCAAAAGTACAAAGAACGTAAACCAAAGAAGTATATTGCAAAAACCATGGATCTCATTTGATCAAATTTACTGAAATGATAGAGGCTCTGCTACCAGAATAAGTCCAATAATGTTTGTAGGTCGCTCATAATAGACTGGGACTCTGCTATGCCCTTTCTCCAATATTAAACTCATCAATTCCCTGCTTAACATCATACATTCAACTACATTGTCAACAGCCCTATAACATACTATGGGAAAGTCGCATTCTATAATAACACATTACCTGTCAAGCCTTGCATTAATATCAATGGCAAAAGTTTCAGTTATAGGGGTCATAGCATTACTGGCAGTTTTCTCAGTTAGTTCAAGTGCCCCAGCAATAATAGTTGTTTCATCATGTGTCAATTCTCCACCTTTTCCAGCCTAAATTTAAACAAAGGACCGTAGTATCAAATAGAAGATAAAAGTGCATGCATTTCAAACTTCAAAGTAAACGAGTCAAGTCTAGATAGCCACAAGAGAAAAAGATAAGATAGTCTCCAGTCACATTCTAAGAAAACTGTATCACAAAAAGGCAGCATGCTAATGAAATAACAAGATGACAGATAACTAGTTTGTTCAACTTCAAAAGAAAGGGAGCAAACAAGATTAAATACAGTGCTTGCAAAACAATAACAAAAACACATCATATAGCTCTGGTACAGACCTCATTACCGTGCATGTCTACAAGAGTTTTTAACTCAGCTCTGCGGAAAAGGGCTGCATTCCGATGACCCAGCAAAAAGTCTAAAAGCTGGAAAACCACAGATATGCAAAAATGCAAATAGGGGAAAATAAAACAAATCAGGAATGAGAATATTAAATTTCTTTGCTCACTAGCAATGGATTAACATAATTTTCCACTTGATTTATTTCACCTTGCTGATTGGAAAAGCAACTGGAAAGCATATCCATACAAGCACACGGACAACGGGAGCCACTGTTGCACCAATCAACAGCCCATATCGAGTACAAACAGACTGAGGGATAATCTGTACAGAAATAAAATTAAAGAGATGTCAGAGCATTTCTCCTCACCATGCTGAATAATTGAGTATTAAAAATTCTTCCTATGAGATACAAGGCTTGTGCTGGACAAGCAGCAACTGCGCAAGTCATGGTTTATTTACATAGTAAACAAGTCTATACACAACCCAAATTCAGAAACTTCAGCTGCTTCTCATGATCAAGTTTAGCAGATTATCATCATTAATTACAGTGATTTTTCAAATTGCCAATCATCTGTGTTAAAAGTCATCTACTGCCTCATTAAGAACAAGGTGGAGCCGGGGACAATGAGACATATTTCAAATCATTCATATACTTGCATTATCATTAATATATAAAGGGCGAAAAGAGAAAATCATACTCACCTCACCAAACAGAAGAATCAATGTCACTGAAATCAGGATAGCGCCCCACCACGTAACGAGACCATCAAGAAAGATAGGAAGTGCCTGAAAACCCATCACCACCTAAAATTAACTAGATTTTTTAAGTCATAAAACTTATCAAATCACACATTAGAACCTAGGTTGCACCTCCATGGCCGCGGCATTGCAAATCAGCAGAGTACAGAGCAATAAATGTTGATTTCTGACAACAGGCAATATCTTCTCTGTAAAGACAAATAGCACATTAAAAGGTCGAAAGCATTAATGGCAGCACAACATCCAACACGGTAATGTATTTTCTATTTCTTGGAACCCAAACATTTCTTAATAAAAAATAACAGTCAGTTAGTAGCGCAATAAACACTTAAGGAAAGGAAGGTTGTTCAGAGTTTCATCCATGGGATCTGGGACAGCCACGTTTAATCGGAATTCCAAAACACAAATCACATCATACCACCTCAATAAATTTTGCGTCAGATGAAAATTTTCAAGAAATCCATAAAGAAAACTGCAAATCACCAACTGTAGAAGGCAAATTTCCAAAAATATGTGCAGTACGACGCTCAAAAGTCTAAATCATAGCTACAACCTTCACAATTAGCTGACAAGAAATCACGAAATTAACAATAAAAAAGTGCACATAAAATAAGGGAAATTAATTAACTAAAAGTAGGTGCAAGAGAGAAGTAACTCGAGAAAGGATCAGAGCTCATCAAGCAAAGCAAATTACCAGCATATTGGCGATCCTTAGGGGTGCCAGACTTAGCGAGAACTTCAAGATCAACAAGACTCAAGGACATGAGGCCCAAGGTAAGGCCCGACATCAAGCCAGCAAACAGGACGAGAAGCACAATTACGGCTAAGAAAAGGAAAAACTTTGGCTCACAGCAGTAAACATGCTCCGCCATTAAAGCGAACTCTCTAGAAACTTGAAACCACTACTTCTGGTTCCTGCTTGCCACTGCAAAGAAGCTAGAGAATAGGAAGAAGTCCAATGCAGAAAAACTGAACAAAAAAAGAGCTAGGGGAGGGAAAAGAGGGTGAGAAGAAGCGGTGGAGAGAGAAGCATAGGTTGCGCCGGAGGAAGGAAAACGACGGAGGAGTATATTATCGACGATTCGAGCAGTAATTCCTTATATACGCGCACACAAATGAACAATGGAATGCGAGAGAGATGGAAGGGGTTGCTTTGCTGCTTCGGATTTGGATTGTTCTTTTTGGGTGTGACGAGTGGTGCGGTGCGCTGTCTTCACAGAAAGTGAAACTGATTATTATATTACAGAAACAAATTTACGATACGATTTGATGAGAAGGAATGACCATGTAAGGAAGTGCTTGAGAATCCCTCCCCTTAGGATCTTTCTCTCATTTTATTATCAAAATCCCTTTTTTAATTCTTAAATTCAAAAAGGAATGGTTCAGGTATAATATTTTATAAAATTATTATTAAAATATTTTATGAATTAAATTTTTTTATATTATCAGTAAAAAAGGTTCAAATTAAATTTTATCAGTTTAAATTTATTTATTTATATTCATCCAAAAAAATCTTTATTTATATTTTAATAATAATTTTATGACATATTATATTTCAACCATCCATGTTTTTATTCTCGAAAAAAAGGATTTTAAAATATATTACTGATTAATCAAAGCACCTTAACAAACTGAAAGACGCATAAATAGTTTATATAGAAATTATACTGATTAATATGTATGTACATATGTAGACACAATTTTAATTAATAAAAATTTCATTATACTTTAATTCAATTATACAATTTTATGTGTAAGTTAATAAAAGAAGAAAAATTAACGAGATAAACAGAAAATCTGATTGTATCAATATTCAAGTAAAGCTACTACACAGATCTGTATACAATTTGGTTATATCTTTACTTTAATTTGTGATTTTAATTATGAATATGTCTTTAAAAAGTGTGATATAGTGTAAAGATTATCCTTATTTTAGATCTACTACAAATAGAATATTAGAATTTATAATAATTAAATTAAATTTAAATAGTCCAAATTTAGTATCTGTTTGGTTGGGCTTTTCAATGGTGAAAAGTAGCTTAAATTGGACACAAACCTAATTAAAAACTTGGATGAAGTTTGGATGGGCGATTGGGCAATCTGGATTTTGTTTAAAAAGCTATAATAAACTATAAGTTAAAATTAACACTTATGGCTTTTGAAGTATGGAAAGAGAAAAATTTAAGAAATTTATTACATTCTTTGATTTTTATTATAAACATCAAATAACTAATTCGTAGATAAAAATATCAGTTAAAATTAGTTGGAAGTAATAAATAAGTTAGAAATATACTTTTGTTTTTAAATATGTTCTTAGAAATATATTTTTATTTTTTCATGTTTCACTTTATATTTAAAATATTTTTTATGATTTCTCTAAAGTTTTAAAATTTAATTCACTCATTAAATTTGACTCTTCATATTAAATTATTTTAATTTCATTGTATTATGTGAAATTATAATTTTAATCATATTTCATTATTTATTAAAACTCATACCCATTTTGGTCATTTTACAACCAAACTTACTTTTACTCAATTATAATTCAAACAACATTTTATTAATTTCACTTTTGCGAACTAACTTTTCTGAATTCCAATCCAAACACAATTCAGTTTATCCAATTTAATTTTTATCCAACTTCACTTTTTCATAAGCAAAATTGATAATAAGTTATTTTTCTAATCGCTGATCCAAATGGACCCTTAATCTAAGCAGTACATAACCACGGAATGCCCCTTCACTTAGATGACTTACTGATTTTCAAAAATTCACTCATTTTTATATGAATTATTTATTTAAAATTTAGTAATTTCAAAAAAAAAATTGGATTCTTCGGTTTTTTAATAATGAAATAGTTGACTTTATTCTAAAATTTAAAATAAAGGAAGTATTTCACCAAGAAAAAATAAAGGAAGCATAACTATTATATGAATATAAATTCTGAATTTAAATCTCATTGACAACGTGAAAATCTGAATGATAAGTATTTTATAGGCATCTATACAAGTACTGTACTTCTTTAATGAGTTAATATAATTTTTTGTACATGAAATTTAGGCTTATTTTGATTTTAGTCATTCAATTTTTAAACTCATGATTTTAGTTCTTAAAATTTATTATGTCTTAAAACATTAGTCCTAAAAAATATAACAATGTTTGAATCTACTAAAGTGTTATAAACAGTATTAAAATAATGATGTAGACTCACACATGACACCTATCTAAATTCTGTGTGAATAATAAAAAGGAAAAAGAAACAAATTCTCAAAACAAGGCCCTTCAGCGTCTTCTTCTTTTTCTTTTTTTTTTACTATTCATTTCAGGAACTGTTCACTACGCTGTGCTCTGCTATTTATATAAAATCTGATTAAATATTATCCTGTGAGTCCGCATCATCATTTTTAACGTCATTAGTGGCATTTCAGTAGATTTTAATACCAATACACTTTTAGTAACTAATGTTTTAAGATAGATTAAATTTCAAGAACTAAAACTACAAGTTTAAAATTTGAGGGACTAAAACTAATATGAATTCAAATTTCAAGTACCAAAAATTATATTAATTTTTTTTTTGGGGGGAATACTAACATTTTATTCTAGCCGTTTTCATGGAATTAAGAAGAGCATCATTCAAATGAGATTCTCACCCATTGTTTTTTTTTTTTTTTTCAATTTTGGACTTTAGGTCTCTCGCTTTCATAGGATTCAGTTTGAAGACAAGCCATTATATTACAGGACAAATTATTATCATTACGGCCAAGTAACAGCTGAAGACGATACTATTACTGGCACTACAAAAAAATATGTTAATTCTAGCGGTTAGAGTGTTACATTTCTAGCGGTTTTAACCGCAACAAATAAAATTTGTAGCGGTTAAGTAAACCGCTAGAAAAACAGGTGCAAGAAAAAATTTCTAGCGGTTATCGCAACCGCTACACATCATGGTCAAAACGATAGAAAATTTCTAGCGGTTACGAACCGCTAGAAAATATCTGAAGGAGACACATTCCTAGCGGTTACAAAACTGCTAGAAATTTTTTCCGGGAAAAAGTTTCTAGCGGTTATAAAACCGCTAGAAAATTTTCCCGGAGAACATTTCTAGCGGTTTTGTAACCGCTAGAAACCTGCTAAACGAAATTCATTTTGCCGGGAATTAAATAATTTCAGTAGCGCGCGAAAATTACTAGCGGTTATAGAATCGCTAGAAATTTTTGGGAAATTAAATTTTCCCGCCAATTGAATTTTAGGAATGGCGGGAAAAACTTTTCTAGCGGTTTTGAACCGCTAGAAATTTTGGCGCAAAATTTAAATTTGACGAAATATTTCTAGCGGTTCGAAATGTTTACCGTGCCAGAAAAAAAAAATTATGGTTTTTCATATTATAATTTTAAAAACCATTAAATAAATTATTTTGAAGAATTTTTGTTAATTTGTATAATTAGTTATATGTTACATTTTATATATTCAAATTTTGTAATAAAAAATATGTAATTAAATTATGAATGTGTCAAAAGAAGTGAATTTAATTTAATAAGATAATTTAATTGAATATTTAATAAGATAGTTGAATTGAAGATGATATATTTTGGAATATTGAACCTATAGTATTAGGTTGATGAGTATTTGAATCAGTTGAGGAGGGCATGACAAATGTGGAGAAGAAAAATCTGAAAGGAAAGGAGAAATAAATATGTTAGTAAAAGATACAATGAATTATAAAATAAAATTCACTTACCATAGAGTAAAGAGAAAAAAACCACAATATGAGATAGTAAGAAAAAAAGAGAGAATTATGAAGAAGAATAGGAGAGGAAGGAAAAGAGATGGAATACATGAATGTAGAGAAGATATGGTATTTATAGAGATCAGCGACACATTTGTAGCGGTGTTTTTGTAGCATTTTATTGCATTTTGTAGCTGTTATTCATTTTCTAGCGTATATATAAGCGCTAGTAATTAGTAGCGGTTATATATATAGCGGTTATTAACCGCTAGAAATTTAGTATTTTTTATTTTTAAAATCTGAACGAATTTTAATTTACAGGTATGTATTTTGTAGCGGTTAATAACCGCTACAAATTACAATTTTCACGAAATTTATGTTGTATTTGGGAAAAATTAGTAATTAGTAGTTAATTATTTAAATAATTTAAGAAAAGACGTGTACCTGATAAGTGGCAAATTATCATCTCCTTGAGGAAAGAAGTCTTCAAAATTCGAGGGTTGGAAGGGTTCACTGTCGTAAATAATGTCACCATCACCCATATCGTAAAGATCCCGTGGCTTGAGGTGAACGACCATATTCCAGTCTTTATGTTTCTCGTCCTCGACATAGTAAATTTGGTGTGCCTCAGAAGCAAGGATATATGGCTCATCATCTTCAAATGCCCCCGTATGAATAAGTCTAGAGAAATTGACTGAGGTGATGCCCAAATGGTCAGTAGCGAGTCCCCGTGAAGTTGTCGTATTTGCCTAGGAGCATTTGAACAGTGTCACGGTGAAAAGCTGGTAAGTCAACTCAATAATGTCAATTAGCTTTCCATAGTAAGTGACGCCTTCAAAGCGCATATCGCCATCACTACTGCTAGCATAACATCTCGTTCCGAATGTCCCGCAAACTCCAGAGTTTTGTGTGAGCAATCCCTGATCACGTCCAACCGTACAGAACTTGAAGCCGTTGACATTGTACGCGGTAAACCTTCGTGCATGGTCTAACGGACCGAGAGAAAGAGCTCTGAATTCATCTGTGTATGGGCTGTTGTCATTACGTATTCGACGTGTAAACCAACTGGGAAACTCTTTGTGGACTCTTTTATCAATGTCAGCAGAACGCGCACGGCCCCGTAGCTGACGCCTGAGATAACTCCTAAACTCACTATAGTAAAGTGTAATTTGTTAGAAGAGTCAGTAAGAAACAAATATAAAGTGTAAAAGCTAGTGAGCTTATATGATATATATACTTACTGCATGAAGGGTTCAACTTGGCTGCAATTTATCAAAACGTGTCTGTGTGCCTGGAGTTTCTCTGTAGGAGTGAGTCTGAAGAATTCATATCCTCCAACTGGTTTCCCAACAGGAGGAAATAAAGTTGACGTGGAAGGACCGGGAGGAGAATCATCTACGCGACGCGGGCGGTTAAAAGATGTCTCCATGTCATCAAAG